CCATCTGCAATCAAGTTACAAGGGAGCCCAAATTTAGCTATACAGTCTACTTATGACGACACAGTAGCAAAAGTTGTGTGCAGTTGCACTGGAAGTAGGTACCATCAACAAATCTCCACAACAAACAATATCCACGGCATCTGGTCAGTTACATTTCGTTAAAATGCATTTTAACAATCAGAGGGAATATACACTGGGAAAGGACAGGAACTGCTCATTCTATGAATCTGGTCTTGGAAATAAAACTGCTCCCCTTTGGTCAGTACAAGTACCTGTTCCTTTACATTGTGAATAAAAGAACATCTACATAATTTATTTCACTAATTGCATCCCAGCTGCTCACAATATACAAAAATCACATGTTCCATCATATCCTTATTTCAGCTCCAGTAAAATACAGTTTTAAAGTTCTGTCCTCCCCAAGTGCAATTTTATACCTGAAGAAAATGTTAACAAGTTTTCACCCATTTAGTGCCCATTTTGAAAATCACCTCATACTCTATTCTTTTCCATCTATGTTTTACTGAGTACACTTGCTTGACTGTGGCCCCAAGGGAAAAATTCATATACGTGGTGTTTGCTGTGTTGACCAGAAAAAGAAATTTTAGGAGGATAATGGCAGCATTGTAGGCTACTGACATGCCTCCTGCCTCCCTTTGGAGTGAGGAGCAGATACTAGCAGTGATCCAGATTTGTCATTTCATACTGATACTTAGAACAGTATTTCCCCAAAAATTTTTACCCCAGTGTGACACCATTTTATTGCCTCCAACTGTATTTGGCCCAAGTGTCCGAGATGGGACAGAGTGTGCCTTAAGCAATGTTCAGTAGGTGAGGTTTTATTTCTTCATCAGCAGGAATGAGAACACAGAAATTTAACACAGGGTTGGGATTTGATGAAAGGCAGGGTTTCCCAAGAAAATGAATATATTTCAGATTTTTCTAGCACTAATTGGGCCTCAATCAGCAATCCATTAGGCCACACCTACCAAAAAAAATTGAGCATTTGGACGGTTTTCCCTAACACTCCGAAGCCAGTCCCATTTCCACAGACTCCAAGATCTCACTTGTTGGCCCCCAGTGGAGTGACAATCCATCTTTTGTGAAGCCCCAAACTAAAATCTGATGCTGTAGTTTCCCAGATGCTAGGTTAAACACCACTGCAATTCCTTTCAGATTATATGCAATTATAGTCACACAGCATGAAAATAGACCCTTCAGTCCAATTTGTACACACCAACCAAGTTTCACAAACTAAACTAGTCCCACTTGCCTGCGTTTGGCCTATGTCCCTCTAAACTTTTCCCTATTTATGTGCCTATCCAAAACATCTTTTAAATGTTGTATCTGTACCTGCACCTGCATCTACCACTTTCTCTGGCAGTTCATTCCATATACAAACCAATCCAAACCATTCTCTGAAAAAGTTACCTCGCATGTCCTTTATAAAAATCTTTCTCCTTTTTCCTTAAAAGGAATGTGTTCTTGTTTTGAGCTCCCCAATCCTAGAGAAAAGACCTTTACTATTCACTTTATGCCCCTCACGATTCTATATATCTCCATAAAAAGGTCACCGTTCAACTTGCATAAGATAGTAGGTCTAGACTGCCAATGAGCCACAATCAGGTAGTCTCTTTACATAGCCAATGACACGTAGTGCCAGACAAACAACCGTTCAGAAAGCCTCCAAGGAGCAGGAAAATCAACGTTTCAGGCCGAAACCCTTCGTCAGGGCTGGAGAGGAAGAGGAGAGCCCAGAAATAGAGGGAGGTGTTGGGGCTGGGGTAAGGTAAGTTGGAATGCGATAGGTAGATGCAGGTAAGAGATTATAATGATTGGTTAGTGGGAAGGATGGAGTGGATAGGTGAGGCACATGGGGAAACGCTTGGGGTGGAGGGATTTTGAAGCTGGCAAAGTCACTATTCAGGCCCTCGGGCCAAGGCCAAGGATGGACATGTCATCAGGGGAGCAGGTGGGGGAATTAAATACAGGCTGACAACTCTATCTTCAGTTGCCATCCATGTTAATTCCCCCTCCCACTCCCCTGATGACATGCCCATCCTTGGCCTCCTCCACAGTCAGAGTTAGGCCAAACGTAAACTGGAGGAACAGCACTTGATGTTTTGCCTTGGGAGCTTACAGCCCAAGGGCCTGAACATTGACTTTGCCAGCTTCAAAATCCCTCCACCCCAAGCGTTTCCCCATGTGCCTGACTTGTTCATCTTCCTACTCACCTATCCACTCCATCCTTCCCACTAACCAATCATTATAATCTCTTACCTGCATCTACCTATCGCATTCCCACCTACCTTTCCTGAGACCCAACCCCTCCATCCATTTCAGGGCTCTCCTCCTCCTCCCCAGCCCTGACAAGGAGTTTCAGCCTGAAACATGGACTTTCCTTCTCCTCGGATGTTTTCTGAACAGTCGTGCTTGTCTGGCTCCATATGTTATTGACTATCTAAGGAGATTACCTGATTGTGGCTCATTGGCATAAGATAGTAGGTCTAGACTGCAAGTTGAAGGGTGACCTTTTTATGGAGGTTTATAAAATCATGAGGGGCATAAAGTGAATAGCAAAGGTCTTTTTTCTAGGGTGCTTATGGACCTGGCTTCCATGGTCTATGGTCTTTACAATTTCCTTACATACCTTTCCATCATTAAGCATTCAAATATACTGTAGCATGGATTCATTTAAAAACTCAAGTTTTAAACTGAAATTATCATTGTTAAAATAGTTTTCATGCGAAAAAGCATCTTTGAACAGGTGTACTTAAACATTAAGCAACATGTCAAGCAAAACTCTAGAAAATGGAGTGCTAAATATGATACCACTATTTAAAATAAATTAAACATGCATAACAAAGCTCTTGTACATTTTGTACAAAGTCCACATCCAAAGGGAAAACATGACTCAAAGGACTGCTCTGCTCATTCAGAATCAGGCCTATAAGATCACGAGAGAACAAACTTCTGATTTTTGCTTTCATTATTGCAGCCTTGGGATTGGACCATAAACCATCAAGATTTACAGATTAGAAGGAGGTGATATAACCTATCAGGTTTGCATCACGTCTCTGCCACAGCAATCCTATTCTCTTGCAAAAATTTTGCATCTTCCTTTGGTTCAAATATTTACTCACTTCTCCCTCATACTGATTTCTGCCTTACATTACATTTAGCAATCAGTCCATGCGAATATACTTCAATGAAGAGAGTTCAGCTAATCCCTCTCATTATAATTCTAAAAGTGATGGCCACTCACTGACGACTTTAACTTCCTCTGCACACATCACTAATATTTTGTATGCTTCAGTGGAAATATTATACTTATCTCTCAAGAGCCAGCAACAGTTTTGGACTCAGTTTCCCAGCCACAGCCTGTCCAATTGAAGGGTGGCTGGGATGGGGTAGGTTTACAGGCAGGAACGAGATATCAGGGATCATGAGGGGGTGAAAAGTTCTTGAATGGCCAGCCAACTGAGGGAGGAGGACTGAGGAGCAATGTAGAAAGATTATGGGAGGAGGCGAGGAGATCACAACAGTTGGGGTTGTGGAGGGGGATCAGTGAAAGGAGTTGATTCAGTCACGGAGGATGTTAATGAGGCTTGTTTGATGACAGAGGGAGGGTACTGCTCATTGGCACACCGAGAAATGTATTTACATATTCCATTCATTTGGTCTTATCATGACAGGGAAAAGTAATGTTTGATAAAGGCATCGGAGGTACCTTTGAAAATTCAATTTAATATTCATTTATATGGACGTTGGACTTAAATCTGTTACATTAGTCTGAGACAACTGCTTGAATGAGGGCACAAAGCAAAGAGAAGAAACAGGAGAAAACTGAAATAATTTAAGCAGAGAATAACGAAGTGCTTAAAGCCAAAGCTCAATGGGGCTGTTTCAAAGAACCTTTCCTACTACCGGCACTCTCCTGTAGATTATAGTCAACTGGTTATTGACTCCTCGTATACATTCATTTTTAATTTGGATTTCGAGTTTTTCATCCACTGTCCCCCATTCTACAATCAGCGATAAAGAACAACCCTAGAGCAAGATGAATCTGCGCAGCAAACATTCGGCTAATACAGAGACACATTAAGGACTGCAGATGCTGGAAGCCAGAGTCTATAGGTTTGAGGCTGGAAAAGCTCAGGTCAGACAGCATCCGAGGGGCAGAAAAGTCAACGTTTCGGGCTTCGCTTTTCCAGCCTCACGGCTTTTTTCAAAGAGACGATGGACAAAAAACAAAATCACTTAACGAACAAGATACTAAACACGATGCGTGTAAATTAATATTTAACTTAACTACGGTATCACACGTCTCGAACAATCGAAATGGCACTCTCTACATTTTACGAAGATTTGAATGCACCGCTTCCAAAGCAAAGGCCGGCACTAATGATGAGCAGAGACCCCCCCGAGGAACAAATAAGTCCTTAACAAACACTCAATTCTCTCCTCCCCAGCATTCAGGCAGGATGTGTTCAGCCTCAAAATACCCGCAGATTTTAAAAACCGACAATTACTGTGAAATGATTAGCAGCAGCCTTTTACTCTCGTGTGCACTGCATGAAAGATATCTGATGTGACAACGTGTTGAGGCCAATTATAGCGTTTAAAGAAATATTAAATAAAAAACACGTAAGTGTCCAACGTTTTGGATTCCTTTAAATGGAAAAGGTCGTTAGCTGCAATTGCAAACACGGTAAATTTTAAAACGGTTTTCGTTGTTTAAATGCTGGGGGGGGGGGGGGGGGGGGGAGGAACCATATCAGACCAGCAGCTGCTGTTATTTATTTTCCTACAACGACAACAGAATAAAGCGACTACCCACATCACCCCACAAATTAGGGAAATAAAACATCTCTGCACCGCAGAGAGAGGCTGTGTGCCGCTTAACTCGCTTCACACTGCATTCAATTAGAGTCCGGAGCTTTTCCCACAAGCCCAATGCAGGATAACCTGCAATGGGAGGGGGTGGGCCCAATCCTTACCTGCACACAGCCCGAGCCTTAGCAACCGACAACCTCCGCCCTCACTTCGCTCGCTCCTAAAACCCCAGATCCATTTAAAGGGTCACTCAGAATTAAATTTGCTTTTTAAATACTTCACCCCAGCAAAACAAGAAACAAAACCCACTGCCAGTTTTCAATTCCAAAGCGGCTGATAAACAAGCGTCGCTGCCGGTCAGAAGAAAACCGTCAGACTCACCACAGAATCGGCAAGGGGGGAGGAGGGAATGACCGTCACGGGGCGGAAACCCCACCCCCCCTTACGCGTTAGCGTCACCATCTGTGGGCGTGGCGGAAACCCTCACCATTGACGACCGCAAAAGGGAGGAGACCTCGCGTGATGACGCCAAGCCCCGCCCGTTAGACCACGCCCCAATTTGCGTCGCGGGCGCCGACCCGCCCACCTCCTACGTCACACGCAGGCCACACCCACACGTCAGCCCGCTTTTGTCGCCGCCCCCTCCCCACTCTCTAAAAAAATATTCTTTCTTCGTTATCGTTTTTGCGCCCCTCGCTACCCCTCCTCACTTTCCGCACACAACTCCCCCATTTCGGATCCCGTGCGAAAACAGAGGAGACTGTGGGACGGCGATCAGTTCCCTGTCATTTGCTCCTGAAGCTAACGGACAGTCTGAAAAACAAAAATCAAAACCGCCGCGCGGTCTCCGCACGTGCCCCACCCCCACCGCTCGGTCAGGGCCGCGGAAGGTCATCGATTCGGTTGGTGTCGTTCCTCATCTCTCTGGTAATGTTACGTTATATAATCTAATATAACTAAATAATGTTATTAATCTGCAGCGAGTGTCTCTTTCTCTCTCACGCACACACAGCGATAAGCTTCATTGCGCCTCGGGCCTGTCGTACTTTTTTGGCCCGGGCCTGGAGCCTACTCCTTCTAATTCTGTGGATTCCCTCTGGCTGCGAGCTGAGATGGAGAAATGACTGGTGCCAGCAGGAGATTAGGATGGGGGTGATGATATCCTATGGTTACCTTTTCTAGTCCTGTTCTGATGAATCAGTGCAGCACCCTCCCAAGGCCACTTTTTCCTTAGTTGACGATATAAGCAGGAGTTAAGTCTGTTTTTGTTTAAATTCATTCACCGGATAAGGGCATCGCTGGCTAGGCAGCATTTATTGCCCATCCCTAATTGCCCAGAGAGTGGTAAGGAGTCAACCACGTTGCTGTGGGTCTGGAGTCACATGTAGACCAGACCAGGTAAGGATGGAGGTTTCCTTCCCTAAAGGGGATTAGTGAACCAGATGGGTTTTTCCCAACAATTGACAAAGAATTCATGGTCATCATTAGATTCAATTCCAGATGTTTATTGAATTCAAATTCCATCATCTGCCATGGCAGGATTCGAACCCAGGTCCCTCGAACTTTCGAGACAACAAGGTGCAGGGCTGGATGAACACAGCAGGCCAAGCAGCATCATAGGAGCAGAATCTG